ACTATCAGCTGGGAGCCACACAGCCTAAATCCTGAAACAGACTCGAGGCTTTATTTCTCAAAAGAGCAAGGACTCCAAGAAACAGCTGACTGCATTTCCCGAGTGAGGTCCCGCTGTTCTTCAGCCGGTCATTGGTAACTTGTGATTTTATATACTCACTCTATTTCAAGACAAAACAAAAATTATATTTGCTAAATGTCCCATAATTACGAACTATCAGTTTCAGAAGCAAGTTACAACCTTTACTCCAAATAAGATATTTAAAGTGCGATTTCAGGTTCTCACGGCGGCCAGTATAAAGATACATCGTACCAGCCACGTTAAATGAATTGTAAAGTCAACGTTTTCAGGATATAATAGGAACTGCAATCTGAAACACGTTGTTCTATGTTTAAATTGCATGCGCCCAGAGAAAATAAGTGCTGGAAAGATACTACGGTATTTGCTGTTTGTATTTTGCTGTTCGACAAATTCTGTCGTGTCACTGTTTCCAGTAGACTCCCTGCTTTCGCAAATTCACGTCAGTTTTCTCAGTCTGTCCAGGCAAACTTTGTACAGTGTCTTAAGTAAGTGGTAATTCCTGCTCCCATTTTCCTTTCGACCCAGTTGATAATTTTGACATCACTGATTTGATTTATTCTTAGGTCATTTAATGCCCATTTTTAAACTACATGTGTGAAACGTCAACTGGCAAGATGACTGTATGAGATGAACTTTACAGAATACGGAAGGAACCGTATTATTTCAGTATGTGACTAGAGATACAGGAAAATCACAACAACAAAAATCCGGTCATTACAGCCGGGATTCAAATCCAGAACCTATGACACGAAGGAGGTGAAACGGCCACTTCATCGCGACAGACGTTTCGGTCATTAAAAAATAACGAATTGAACCATAGTTAATTTGCCTATAGACGTTCACGTTATTGCAGTATTAGGCATCTTTAGTACAACAAGGCTTGTCGCAACACCATCTACCGGCTAAAATTGAAATTATACTAACCAACATCGACGACTTTGCCGATATACGTAAGGCGTTTCATTTACCACACAAACTACATCGCAAACATGGTTTTACATCATAGAATCAGATACCTGTTTCTACGTTTGTCCTGTTTACGTATATCTAAAAATCTTACTCGTTCTAAAGTTGTTTCTTGAGTAGTTAAATTTCCTAAGTATCAATGTCTCACTCTTATACTGTCGGATTTGGCTACGTTTCGTTGCGAACCTTTAAACCCCCATAAAATACTACTCTGGGCTGAAAGATTAACCTAATTCTGATATCTACTCCAGTATAAGCGAAAACTTAAATGTCTGAGCATACGCAGACCTTATATTTCTAACCTCTGCTACAATAAAGAAATTGATTATTATATACCAAAACACAGACCAGACATCTCGTACCCTATTTACTTTCTTATATAACGTACATTTTAGTTTGAAATGTTGTTCGATTTCAAGACTATTTCGAAAGACAAATGCAAGTGATCAAACTTTTAGCAACATTTTTGTTAATTCTTTACTTATATTCTGTTTTCTCATTAAGCGGTTGCTACTACTGAAATTTTCCAATGAAGACACGTTTCAACTTAATAACGGTTCCATTTTAGACAGACTCTACAGCATCTGATCATCTGCATTAAAATCAAGTCTGGACCAAGGGATCGTCTATTAAGAATTTTCATAACTTCACTTAAGACTGTGTGGTTTCTTGAGCGGAACGTTAGACCAGGGCTCTACCGTTGTAGGAAAAAGCAAAGAAAATGACAGATATTAATGCCACAAGTGAGAAGTTTCCATGTTTGACTAGTTGCATTCCGTCAGCACCTAACCACCATTGCAGGACTACGTGGATTGGTGTATAGACGTACACTTAACTGTCCGCTCTTTCATAACTCACTCTTTTTCGTACGACAGTAAATCAAATATCGTTACTGCTGTACTTTTGTAAGATACTGTTATTTCAAATGACTTCAGTCAAATTAATGCTGTAACCTTTACGTGTGTATTTATAACATCTATCATATGTTTTATCTATCAATACCAAACCGAATGTCATGCTTCAAGTTACGTGTAACGTTTTGATTGATATGACCTTTGAAACATGACCTTTTAATTTGACCTTTAATATATAATTTAACCTGCTAAATAGAAAAAAAACATGGAAATCTTATCCTTCGTTACTACTAACGTCTCAGGGATAAATAATTAACGTGACATTGTCCACAGGGAACTACTGTTAACACTGGGAACTGCAAATTGATAACCTATAGATTATGTACGAGATTAATGCGTACTCAGAATTCAGAACCAAGTTTAGACACGCCTATCTTGCAAACGGCTAAGATAATCTGATTATATTACACTGATGGACAGTTTAACAAAATCTAAGATTATCCGAATTGCCTGTTTTATAAAGAAAAGTAAGATTAAATATCTTGTCCAAGTGTTAATTACTCCTATATGGACGAACCAACGATTTTCATGAAACGACTAAAATTCTGGAAGTTCTTTTCAGTATTTCTAAATATTCTTTTTCTGCTCTTTGTTCTCAGACATCCCGGATCTGGAAGCATGTTCTTTTATACAAAGGTTTCATTGACAGGTTGCTCGTATCTTGTTGGTTTCCTTGCTCAGTAACGTGGGTTCCACTGGACTGCACTTGAAACCCATGAAAGAGAACTGCTGCAGTGAGTGGGGAGGCCAGTTCCTGATTTCCGTTTCTTTTCCTATGTGTAAACACGTCTGTAAAATTTTACAGCCTTCTTTCTGATTGCAGTCAGAGAAACTCCTTCCCCTTCTTTTTAAAAGGGATTTTTATTTTCAGGAATTTTACTTTACAGCAACCATTTTTACAAAGACAGAAATAGTACAGTGTTAGAATGACCATACTCCTTTCCGCTAGGATCTTTTGAGAGTAAAAAGGATACACGTACAATAAGTTCTGTGCAATGGAAGTACACGTATCACTTGATATAAGGATCAATAGCTCTAAATTTTTTATTTGTAGGCTTCATATGGTTCTCAAGGCGGACGCATTGTTTCTCCGAGCATCACCAACAAATTGCTCTTTGTAATGATAAAGTATTGTGTTTTATTTCCGGTAGGAGCTGGATTCTAAAGTAATATTTAGGCCAGATTCGGCTTCAAAGGTTTAACGGCACTTGTATAAATTTACGTGTTGTTTTGTATGGGTGTGAAATTTGGTCTCTCGCCTGCGGGAAGATATATATCGGAAATGTTTGAAAAAAGGGTGCTGGGGAGGGGTAACTAATCAACAGAGGACAATCAACAGAAGTGCGGAGAAAATGTTAAGTTCTGAAGCAACTAAACGATTCTCATTAAAAGTTGCATATGTTGCGGTTTTAAACGTCATACAATACATTATGCCAACATCGCAGACGTGCGAGCATGCGATATAAAGTGACACTAACATCAATTAATTGAAACTAAAAAAATTTCAAATTTGTACAGTGAAGTTCTGTAGAATGCAGATCAACAACATGGTGGTCACGCAAAATATATATTTAGTTCTTGGTTTGATAGCGTCGATAAATGAACCACTGGAGATCGCCACTTTCGCAGTTTGTATGGCGATGGACTACACAGATAAATTCAGTACAAAAGTGTTGTAAGAACGTATAGATCCTAAGCATCTATTACACATTACAAACACGGCTTGGAGGTTACATTCAACAAATTTAATTGAATCGGAATATAATTATCACATTCCCCTAATTTCTAACTTAATTGTTTTCCTTGAAGCCTTTGAATAAAAAGAGAGCGTTATAAGTTCTTCCTAGAAACTCTTGTTATAGATTCATTAAAGTGTAATTATATTTAGTCCGGATTGCAGGTTTGTCTGATATTTAGCACTGGTCATGTGTATCCATTTTGCTCTGAAATAAAAGATAGGAAGACTGGTGGAGCACACAAAGAAAATCCTCAATTTCTTTCTTCCTAATGCTCAACTCTTGAACAACAACAAAAATGAATGCTGATATCCTGTTTGCAAAATGGCTGGCTATTTCGAGGTTGCTTGCGTCAGAGTGCAATGCACCAGAAGGCCATGCTGTTATTGAGATAGGGTTGGGTCGAGGGTAGGTATTAAGGGTTGTTTTGCAGCTCGTGGGAAGCCTTTTAAGCTTTTCATATTTCACTTTTTGCGGTCCCACTCGTTTACCTGTGACGGATATACAGTAAAAGGGTTTTTTAGGTGGGGCAGAATATGCCCGAAATATCTGGTGGTGGAACCTTGAAAGATGTTTACCGATATTCTAAAAACATTTTAAATTTTGCCTGCTTTTTATAAGGCAGGTGAGTATTTCTAAAGCCCTTCGGAAATTTCAATATTCTTTTGCAGATATTCGGTCATAATCCATTTCCTAACTGAAATATTTAATTTCTTTACGCGAAAATCGAACAAACAGTTTAACGCTTTCCACTATAACAGTTATGTACGAACGTTATCTACTCGCATTTGTATGATAACGTACAGAACCTTTAACGTTAAAAATCAAGTCAATCATTTCTTCACTGGTGTTTTCAAACAGGAATTAAATCAACCTCACTGAGAGCTTAAAATCTCGTACAAATTCTTAATTAGCCTATCCAGCCTATTGTATGCGCATTCAAAGCTGTTCGTTGCACAAAAATAAACTAGATAAAATATCGATCCTATTAAGACATACAACTTTCATATCATAGGCTACTTATTTGATACTGTGAGTAGTTAATTAAGCTCTATTGGTTTGATTAGCTCTGTAACAATAAATTTTTATATATACATATATTAATATATTCTAATCTGCAATAAATAAATATCAAGATCAAGGAAGTATGCAAAATCGAAGTCGAATAAATCTGGGAATTACTAATAAAGTTCCACAAGAAGAATTTCTGGTTACGCGCCGCATTGTATAAGACATGATAATAAAAAGTTAACCCTCTTACATATGAAGTTAATTTCTAAATGTTATTTCAGTTTGTACTTACAGCAGAACAGCGTCCAGCAACCCGCATTCACTGGAGGTCACTAGAAGTTCGAAGCAGTCACAATAAAATGCAGAGTTCTTCAAATTCGCAATGCCGTAGTTTATTTGCACTGCACAACTCACGCACTTACACTTTTAAGTCTACGCACACTTAATCTATACGTAATCTTCAAGCCACACGAAATGAAAACACGTGTGCTCTTACGTCACACCTGCCAGCTGTTCAGAGAATTCGCTTGAATCTGTAGACCTATATTCAAATTAAAATATTTCGTATTTTGTAGCGGACGAAATCATATATTCGTATTTTTACGATATAATAACTTATACCGTCATCTGATGGTGTTAAAACAATGCGAGTGTATTTTAAAGCAATGCCAGGCAAATTACTGCTTTTGTTGCTTCAATAAATCATAAAAGAGTTTACTTTTGGAACAACTAAAAATAAAAGAGAAATATTCCATTTGAGATAAATATATTAAACAATAAATTTGTCAGAGCCAGTTTAATGTTCAATGCTGTTATCGTCATCTTTGACACATGTCGGAAAGGGGGAAAATCCATCAATGTACAGGAAGGAATCGAGCACTGTGACCCTTCAGGATGACAATAAACCACGTAAGTAGTAAAACTCACAGGGATAACCAATAAGCTGTCTGTTAGACGTAGCAATGTTGAACATTACTTATTTAAATGATATTGATGTCTTATCAATAGATTATGTAGCAACAAATATGATGTGAAGCCGACTGTGAATGATTCGAGGACAAATGAAACGGCCGTGGACTAAAAATGGTACTATCCTGGCATTTTAGAGGATAAACCGAGAAAACTTCAAGAAAGTCAGGTTAGTCCAGGAAAACCTAGCACGAATATAGTCGGTCTTATTAGTCTACGGTACCTAAAGTCAACACGGCCTCATAGCTAACAGTAGCGGACTGAAACTGTGTCCTGTGAACTCCTATCAAAATATAAGACTGATACCGTTGAACTACATTTACTGAACAGGACTGCCAGTTGATTTGAAAGGCTAAATGAATTTATTATAGACCCTTAAATATTCGCCAAATCGAAAAGAAGTGCCAATTTGAGCATAGGCTAATGTCTAGAGTGAAAATACAGTAGGTAATTTGAAAAAGAAAACAAGTAACATATTATATTTTTGCTGTTACTTGCAACCAAATTATTTGCTATTAGTCCTACATGTGAAATAAATAATGTAGACAATTCTCCGTTGTCATGAAGGGCAGTAACTTCGCTAGACGCACGTATATTGTCAGAGTTTCTGTCCAGTCAAATGGGCAATTCAGTCATTACAATCATGTTTACCACCTTTGTTACTGGCGTTACTTCACGTCCATAATCAAACAGTCATGGATTCACATTAATGGTTGACAATAAACAGATTTTTAAATTAAAATTCCCATTGTACTGTAACAAAACAAATGATCAACGAACAAACTTATTTTAAAATAAAGCCCAGATATAACATTTTAAAACAAGAAAGCTTGAAACGTCATCACAAGTATTTGTATTCATCTTTAAAGCTACATTTGAAATTAACGTGTGGAATCCGAGTGGGAGTCACTTGTAGAAAATTGTTTAGTAAATTTACTACACTTGGTTTAGTCCAAAGAAGAATCTATGCAATGTAATTAAACTCCTACTCTGTCTTAGTGAATTAGCAGATTCAGTGTAGGTGTTCAAAATGTCCACTGTTAAGTTCCCGTTGTAAACGCAACAGACGGGGATCGATAAAAAAAGGTTAGTAACCCGTAATATAATGTGTATACATCTTTTCGGGACACTGTATAGATTGTATTTCGTAACAGTTTATACAGCCCAACAACACGGAATACACTATTTAGAATCAGAAATATAAACTAAAGTTGAGAATATGCTAGTAACATTTGAAACATGGCTATAAAGTTGGCAAGGAAAGTCTCGTGTTTTCACTTTGAGCAGATCGAGCCATAATTAGATACGCTTTTAACTGCAAGCCAACATAAGATGACCTCATAAAGTTTCTGATTACATTTAATCTTGCTACATTAATAAAAATCTTAAATATCCTGTATTCAAACAGCCAATACAACTTACGATGCAGCCTGACTTAGATAATGCAATCAACATATGAAAATGTAGGCCAGGCACGAACACAAGCAAACACTTCTTTCAGTGACACAGACTGAACTGCATGTAACCTTGAACGGAAGATAGATTAACGATTCAACCACAAGATGCCACTCATGTCGGAATTATAGAATATAATTTGGCACTTGAACAAGTGGTTATAACCCGTGGCTGAGTCTACTGACGAAGAAAACGCGGAACAAGAGAAAGAAGAAATCAAGTGCACATACATGCAGTCTTTTCCCGCTATTTAATTAATTCGCTGCTTCTAGAACACATAATATATAAAAGGCATTAAACACATAAGTTATAGTCTGATATAAGGTGAAGGTAAAGCTCTGTGCATTCTTAATCTCGATACTATCAGCGCTCCTGCAAGAACCATGAGTAATAGATGGAAGGCTCCCAAAAGAAGTCGTACCAACCTCTATAATTTATTTTGCAGTTTCATCACATTGCCTTAGTACGGAATCCTCACGTTTTACAATATACATTTCTTTAATAATTTATTCGTGTTTCAGTAAAAGGTGCATGGAGAAAGTATTATCGGACTCCTTAGTTATAGGAAAGCTGCATTCCAATTTTTGAAAACCCAGAGCTGTAAAAGTCTTATAGCAATAGTAGAAACTCTGCACTTTTGTGCTAAAAACTAACGAATATAAAAGAAGAGACAGGACTGACAGTTTCGCTGATGTTAGTTGTTTGCGTGGTGAAAGCCGAGGGCTTGTTTTTGTTCCTAAGGGTTACTCTTTCTTTACTTAGAGCACGATGGAAAAACAACCTCACCCCCTAACTCCGGCCTTGTTATGCGTTTTTCCAACTGGTCAAAAAATAAAAACTGTTCCCAAAATAACCGCCTCAGGTAATGGGAAAGGTTGTTGATATTCGGCTACAGAGAACTGGGGTTCTTGGTGTGCTTGGAAGGAGTACTTTTAGTTGCCGAAAGGTCACACGGTTTTCTGCGTAAACACATTTTAAAATTTTTTCCTATGGAAAACTTTTTCTCCTGATACGGCATTTAATATCTGTGAATCAACTAATACGATAACTTAAAATAGATTATGTTGCTGAGGACAAAATAGAAATGGAAGGAATCGATGACAGAAATGTTATAATAACTTAACTTTTATTCAAGTGCAATAAAGTCTTTTACTTATGTTCAATATGAAATAACCCGGTTCTAAATCCTTATTCATCTAGTGAGATGTCTATTAGACAAACTGCGGCTCGAGAAGAAAAAATTTTGATAGACAACGATGCATTCTGCACGCCATATGAACCGACGAACTCTTTTAACTCTATGGAACAAAAGTCTTTCTAGGTAAGCTGACTGCATCTCAGCTGGTTCAGAAGTTCACCCTGCTTACAAGAACATACCATTGCACCATACTGGCCCAGATGGACCCAGTCCATTCCTCATATTATTTTTCCAAGTTCCATTTTAATATTATTCTACCATTTATGCCTACATCTCCCTACAAACCTCTTAAGTTCAGGGTTTTTCGAATAAAATGTTATATTGACATCCGTTGGTCATTATGAAGACGAAGCATGTGAACAGATTGACAGACAAAAACGATCTCTCCATTTCTAGTCAGCTTAATGCACTTCGCATACAATCGTTAAGTTCATGTGCACTGCACGAGAACCAAATCTAGAAGGCGTCACGAATCAGAGGAAACACGAACAAAACGTAACACGTTAAATTCCCGTCCTTGTACAATAAACACTTCTCTTGCTGTGAATGCGTCATTGTAATGGACTTGTCGGAAAGTTTTACAGTGGCCTGTAGCAGATGTCCAGACGCTCCATCATTGCTACAGGTGTGTAGTGGGTGGTATCAGCTTCCAGGGGTAGCATGACCCCTGGTGCGACCGCAAAGGCAAAGAGGGGATTATTAAGGGTCACGGTCTATTGTCATAGTCTATTGTGTCATGTTACAATTCTAAAATCCTTTTCATGAATTTCAATTATTTTATTTCATTCTTTCTTTTTTCTTTCTACTGCAAGCTTCCACTAATTCCCAATAGACGCCTACTAAGTTACGTAACAATGGTAAACGGTGTGACAATTTGTGTTACTACACAATTGAGGATTTTAGAACATTTTGTACGAGTTCTCAAAATGATTGTTCTGGTTTCACCTTGTCAGAATTGAAAAAGGTTCTGAGACTGTTTTCCGTTAGGTCTCAGAACTGTGAGAATGATTGAAATCAGATAACCGTTACCTCCGTCCTCCAATAGCTGTCAAACAGCAAGTACGATTCACTACGGGAGGTTTCTCAGTCCGTCAATAAAACAGCAAATTGAATTCCATGAAACTAAAACGCATAGAAAATTGATTCCTAAAACAAACTACTCTGAAACCAGATCGAACTGTTCTAAATGACCAATTTTAATCATGCAAAACAGAAGCTGTAAAGCATATTTGAGGCTGGAATACACAGTTTTAATGTGTTAGTTGTTAAATTTGAATTCCTGGCTACTTTCGTCTATATACTACAAACATAAATGTGCTGTTGGCAGAGCCAATCTACATACACTGGCTATCAATAGATTGTCCTATTTTATAGAATCCGGTGTTTATCACCACATTCAGAAAAGCCCACGACTGAGCAGCTTAAATCTCTCAAAAGTAATCTCTTCAATTGATGTTTTATAATTAAAATTTTGTGTATATTTCTCACTTCCATTACTTATGCAGTCACTACATTTCACAGAGAATTCCAATAAAAGACTGAATACAAATTATATTTGAGTGGCATATTCTACTTATTAGAATATGCCCAATTTGTGATACTCTTATCTTTACATGAATGCCACAATGTGGAATTGTTATACTATTTTATATTTCCTGAAGTGGCAATGCTTAGTATGCCTACTCTATTCCTAACACTTAAATAATTTCACGTGCATTCTTGTTCCAGTAATAGGTTTGAAAGTAAGATTTGAGGTTTTCATGGGGGTGAGTATGAAAATTTCTGACTTCTGAGTTGTTGCGCTGTGTAGTCTGGTCGATGTTAACCAACGTTTCAGAGGTCATACTGCCTCCGTCATCATGGCGATGATCATCAGGCCCTGATGACGGAGGCAGTATGACCTCAGAAACGTTGGTAAACATCGACCAGACTACACAGCGCAACAACTGAGAAGTCAGAAATCTTAAGGTTTGAAAGTGTCTTGAACTTAAATGAGGGTTTCATATGATACATAACAGAAGAAATACAAAGGGCTCAGTTGCCTAATAATACAATCATTTTTATTATTATTCATAATCACAATATTTTAACAGATCACAACAATCAATACTATTACCACCACCACCACCAATGCTGACCTTATGATAGACTGGAGTAACAATGGGGGAAACAGGCCATAAATATAATAACAAAGCTGTTTGCTGCGCCCATCAACAGGGTGATGACTCATCAACTCTGCAATACTGGTAAACTTCTACCAGAATATATGGCACGATGACACAGATGACAGCCATCTTAACTATCTTCAAGGGCTTCTACAGGTCAAGTCTGATCACAGCCCCTTAATTCAGAAGAATCAGTGTTCATTGCAGTGAAGCCAGATAAAACAATCATAGATTACAGGGAGTACCGAAACTTGTATTACCCTCTCAATGGCAATACTAATAATGTACCAATACCCGAGACACCACAAATAACGATCTACTGTTGCATTCTTGCAGGCAAGGTCCGACAACTTCGTAACAAGAATGATTCTGCATCGCACACACAATTATGACTTTCCTTTAGTGAGTGTGGTCGCTGTGACACTGTTGCCTGATAGGTGGTTACCAACATTTCTAAGGAATGTATCACCTCCATCTACAAGGTTGATGTCTATGTCTCACATTCCAGAAGACCACAATTGATGAATGTTTGGTTGACTGTCACGGAGGAACAAATTCATATCCGGATGAAGTCTGGACATTTCTGACAACAGGGAACTGTAATGTGTAAATTGTTCTCCTGGACTTTGAGACACTCTCTGTACCATGAAGTATAAAATAATTAAATTAAATGTTTTCGTAGCTGGATTATGCTTCCATCTTCAGGTAAAAAAGGGGAAGGCAGAAATCCTATCTGTTGGGCCCCTTGGCTGAGCTAGTCTCAGACATGTCCAGATCAAGGTAAAGTAGCAAATTTTTTCATGTATATGTACAGATATTTTATTTCACACAATCTGTACTTAATAAGATCTGAAAGAAGAAAAATCAAAAGCTCTACAGTAACTACAATTTCTATATACTTACTTTGATACTTTGACGACCCGTTCTTTAAGTGCCTGAGCACTGCGGGTTCCAACTTTTCGTTGGCTTGATCTATGGACATTTGGTAGGACCCCTTGGACGAGGGATCGGCCCGACGCAAGGCCTCTACCTGTACACAGGACAGCACAATACAGAAATATGTGAAAAAATATCCATGGCTTGAGTGGGATACGAACCCACGGTCCCAGCGACCAAGCGGCACAAGGCCCACGCTTCAGACTGCGCGGCCACTGCGGACCCCGTCATAATTATAGCCCAAATTAAAAGGCTGAGGCTTCGACAATTTTAATAATTGTAACAACTGATTTTTCAATGTTAATACAGTGGAACCTTGATGTACTGTGCATCGTTATACAGCGGACTTGGATATACTGCGGCTGTTTTACATTTTTCATATATATGCGGGTACTGAAGCTGTCCCCCAAAACCCGTGTCATATCAAGGTTCCACTGTGATTGTAAAAGTAAAAAAGTAAAGTTTGTCCCACTATATGTCATGTAGGCGTTTGGGGTGAGAGGAGGTATAGCTCCTCTCTTCCTTGACCCCGGCACTAGATGGGGGTGAGTGGTCAGCATCACGCCCCGGCCGGCTTTACCCCCGGGAAAGGACCCGGTACCCATTGGATAGGAGGCTGGGTGGGCCCCAGAGCCGGTCTGGACGCAGAGGCTAGAGGAAAAATCCTCTGCCCCAGTCGGGGATCGAACCCCGGTCGTCCAGCCTGTAGCTAGTCACTATATTGACTGAGCTATCCCGGCTCATTCCACTGTGATTGTATAGTCTCTCATATTTTAATGCCTTGTAATTTAAATGATTTAATACAGTACAATAACATCAGCCGTCAAGTAAACAAAGATCCAGATTATGATGAGAATGTGACAATGGGCCTGTGTCTACTATGTAGCAAACCTCCTGTATCTTACTGTTCCAATAACAGTTTTGCTGAAAAAGAGAACTGTACTTTATATTATAGTTGAGTCAGTCACATACAAAATTTGCTTTGTAAATCTGAATTTTAAGCTGCAATGTATGCATTTCTCTAAGTCTGGTGGTGTAATGTATATAATTTGTTTTATGAAATAAATACAATTTAAATAAATTAATCATATGACACTTTACACCCAGCTGCAAATGACAGAACTAGCTTTTGCTCACTGTCCGCTGTTTCAACAAAAATAATATTTAAATTTTTAAAAAAATATACCAATAGGAATGAATTTAAGAATGTACACAGGGGTCAGCTGTAGGGTGAAGGGTAACTTTGGCACAAAAAATACCCAATCAATAATAAGTATAATTTACTTTGCAAATGACATCATTATTTATGGCTGAATCCCTCAGTTAATGTGAGACTTGGCACTGCACGACTTCCACAAACTTACTAAAATCAGGATCATATTATGAAATGGGGAGAGATACAGTTCACAGTAATAAAATTACTATACAGTCTTTTGGCTGTATACCAACTTTTTAATGGAACATACCGCCTCCACCTCTGGGAAAGAAGTGATAAGTACTGGGATATGAATAATTTATAGATGAGGATGAGCAGGCCCGGAGGATTAGCCAATATAAGCCATGGGATGACACAGTTGTCTCCGAGACAAAAGAGAAAACATGTAAAAACTTGCCCTTTTATGGGTCATAAAGGAATGCAGGATCAAGAAAGGATTTTCTTGTTCTTTCACAGTGTAAATAACAGACTTTGATGAACTGCTAAGGGAAAACTCATCCCATCGCTTGACGGTATTAATATGGAACTCACTTTTTACTACTTTCCTGATGATCCTGTTCACACATCTGGGTTCCTTCACCAGGATACTGATGTCATTTAGAAAGATTCAATGGCACGTGTTGATGATGTGCTCTGCCACAGCCGACTTGTCTAGATGGTAAACACAGACTTGACAAGGGTGCTTCCTGACCCTAGTTTCATCAAAATGGCTACTCTGTCCAATGTAAATTTTCCCACATTAGCAGGGGATGTTCCTCTGAAACAATACAGCCAAGAGAGTATATGGTGCAACACAACAGATAACATTTATAATGGAATGACCAATTAAAGGGTTAAATAAATATGTTAATGACTCAGAGTAATCCTTGAAAAGCTATACTGTAGTTCACTGTAATAATGCACATTTTTATAATATTCCTAGGGAACAATACCCATGTTAACATTGGAATTCTAAATATGCTTTTGTCTCCCAAATATCCTTGCATCAAAATTCTGTTTGTGTCTCCAGTTCCCCTTGAATTCATGCCATTTAAAAAGCAAAATAATCTTTTTTGTATGTAAAATTACATACTAAAAAAATTAAAATGGTTTAAATAACATGTAGACTATGAAATGATTAACTTATTCCAGGATTATTCACTATGAAGCACAATAAAACAGTCAAAGTCAGAAAACATGTTTTCTCACCTCATAATCCCAGGTTTGAAAGCAAAATACCACCACCCCACAGCACCTGTAAGCATACAATAGAAACTGCCACCAGCAGCCAATACCTATAGAGTAACAACCTGCTGATGCTTTTAAATATTTGCAACTTTCCCAATGGCATTCTGCTTATATCTTCTAGCAGTCTCCTAGAGGCAGAAAAGAAATACACATTAGTTTTCATGTGTTCTTTGCATTAAGTGCATAAACTGAACATATAGGAATGGGAAGACTGTCAACATGTTTCATCCCTGAAATTACACAATGCCATTCGTTATAATATGGTATTTAGTTCTAAATTTAAAGTTGTCTGGTGAATTTAATTTTGGTTCATACCAGTTAAACATTTTTAAATGATTTACAAAAAGCTTGAATCAAATATTAATTTTCTAAAACACAGCATGTCATACAAATCATCAGTATGGAGCATAAAATATAGATCTAATTAAAATCTACAACTTCTATTATTTGAAACACTTATCTACTTAGCAAATCCATAACAAAATATTAAGAAAAATAATTTCCAACTGTGTTGTGTGGTACCTATGTTGTGACTACCTTTCCAACTTTGCTGTGCATCTGCAACAAATGGACATCAAGGGCAAAAATGCAGAACTGCAAAATGTGCCTTTGGAAAATATGTGTATTTATATGTGGAAAGGCTTTTGTAGTAGAGGTAATGAACCAGAAAGTTCATTGTGAAGCTTTAGTCAATGGGTGGAAAAAATAAGGCTATTTACAAGTACTGCAAGTAGACATACTGTCAGAGAAATGGTAATGGCTGTACAAATGGTGATATTTGCCATGTACTAAGAGACCATCTTTTACAGAAATACAAATACTATTTTAAATAGCTTTATCAGTTGGAAAGACAAAAACTATATTCACTTCATGTTTGGTTATATGTCCATGTGGATTTATGCAGTATCTTGTATATTTTATTAATACCTTTACAAATAAGTAATATATTTATATACTTGCATAAGATTTGTTTTCTCACAGTGGTAAACATTCAGATTGTGGTCTTCTAAGTTTTGAAACAATATATAAGGTAACGTGATGTAAAAACACAGAATCCCACAAACTAATATACTTACTTGTAAAACGTTTCATTCAATATCAAACACTTCTGTGGGAACCCTTGCTTATAAAATTAAGTAGGATGGTATTAATTACAACTTTATAAGCTAAATATACACGGCAGACCCATACAAATATAGACAATTTGTTAGCTGTATGAACCATTTAGGTTATGTAGCATCAAATTAGGTATAATAAAATATGTGACTGATAAAAGTCAATTCAGTATTACCAACAGTAGAGAAAACTAACAAATTTAAATGAATCAGATAAACATCCAACGAACTGCAAAAATGTGCAACTCGGGCCGTTTCTTAGTTTGTATTTTAGTAGAATAAAACTCTTCATCGTACTTCCATTGCACACAGAAGTATGCAGCACAAATTTCTTTGAGCACAGATTATAGTTGTGTGTCACAGATATTGACCTACACCATTGATAATAAACACACAGATGTATAATGTCAGTGTTACCAATGTTATTTCACTTAAAGCAAAAGCAACACGACAGTGCAGTATGTTATGTAACACAGGCAATTAATTCAGTTTTTGTGGCACGTTCATTACTGCACACCAACCGACTATGCTGTCCGATATACGGTATTGATATAAACAAAGGCCCAATGAAGCAAAGTAAAAGTTTCACTTTTACTCTTATAGTTATAGGTAATCCATACTACAGACCCAAATAAAAACGAATGCTTGGTTGTGAGAAAAGATTAATCAAATTTATTTTCAGAATTTGAAGTATCATTATATAATTTTGTATTAAATATTTTGCATCTGGAAAGCTGCTTGTCTTGACACGATGATTCAATTAACTTCACCCCGGAGGCAGTTTTGACTTGAGGTTTACTAATGAGAGTTCCATGGGTTAGGCGTGATGTTTCAAGATAATGTTCCGAAAATTACGTCACGCAATACTTTCTTTGGGCGTTACACATGGCAATTGTTTCTTCATTGATTGGACACAGTGAAACGTGATCGATTAAGGTGATGCGGACAAAGACAAAGATACGGCGTCCAATTAATTTCCAGTAACTTTTGCAGGAACAGGCACCTTAAATTGGTCTTATAAAGGAAGCAAGAATTTTCGGAATTGTGGAAAGGGTTTCTTTTATCTCGCACAAAAAGTGAGAAAACGTGCACCCTTCTCTGTATTTAGTTGTTTCTGTAGTGTATTGGCTAAGAGAACGGGCTTCATTCGAAAAAGCATTATTACTGGACGACATCTTCTGACCTCTTTATAAAACAAAATCCTACATACAACGAGTCACAGTAAAATAATGATTTTTTATAATATTCCTAGGTTACAACGAACTGTGTATCTTCACTTGCTGAGTTACCAATATTTTACAGTGATAAATCACTCAAGTGATTATTTAGTTGAATGGAGCGTATGGCTTATTCAAAATAAACATGAAATGAAGCTTTGAGATAACAGCGTCTGACGGTCGTGTGAACCGTATTTGTGATACAAGAGAAGCTAAAACGCATTCTTTATTAACAAAAGGAAGACTAATGTTTAATTCTGTGAAAATTCTCTGCTTTACATCAACTGACCGTAATGAAGCAGAAACACAAAACCGTGACAATTAACTAATTACAAAGTTCTTCAGCCAACAGTCCATAATCCACGTGTATTAATTAGGATAGGTTTAAGAATCCTGCTTCGTGTTCGGGAGATCCTGGATTCGGATGAACTGACTATCCTGACTGAGATTTTGTGGTTTTCTTCAGTCTCACCAGAAAATGTTTGAGACAGTACCTTAAATCAGACCACGATAACTTACTTCTATGTAATTTCCGATTCATAATTAATAATGAAACCCAAATTTGACGCTTTGTGTAGTACGTTTGTTTGTTTGTCATCAGTCTTTCGACTGGTTTGATGCGGTCCTCCATTTTCGCCTATCTTGCGCCAATCTCTTAATTTCCACGTATTTTTTACAGCCCACATCCTCAAAAATCTGCGTCACATATCCCAATATTTGTCTCCCCCTACAATTCTTCCCTTCAACTGTTCCTTCCATTACGAAATTAACCAATCCTGGGCGCCTCAGAATGTGTCCCACCATCCCATCTCTTCTTCTCGTAAGATTTTTCCATAGACTTCTTCCTTCGTATTGGGTCGTTGAAGCGTATAGGTGAACTAAGTTTTACTCTATAGTTACCAGAATGATGTATTATAGAAGGGAGGGTATTATGAGACCGCTGCTTGTGTGGAAGTGTGCCTCTTGGAAAACAGGGTCTTACGCGAAATGAATGCAGACGACTGAGAGAGTATGGGATTCAGTGGTGACTGTCATCGCCGTAGAGGCAGTATTCGTCTCTTGAAAGGATTTATCATTATTCCCATTGAAAGCTTCCTTCATCATTCTGCATCAGACCTTCTTCATCTCGAGCACTGTACCTCATCCCAACTAGTAATTTACAGGGCTCAAAGAGGTGTTGACGTTGGAAGACGCCGTCTACTTCCTTTCAGTATGCTATTTCCAGTTCCTTAAGACGTCGTAAATTTTGGTGCCAATGATACGTGAAGAAATGAATCCCTGAACCTACATTGTAGTAATTGCCTTATAAAACGTCATACGTATTGGTCATTGCCTCGAAATATTCTACCTATTTCTGAAATGTATTTTCCATCCTAGAATACATCCTTCATTACGGTAATCATACATTCCAAACTGTCTGCAGCTTACGATACGACCGTCTTCACATTTTCATTGTACAGATCATTTCAAAAACATATCGTCATGACGTCATGATAGTCACCAAGGGAGACCCAAAAGTCTGTTCCTGTCACATAGTAATCTTCCGCTGAGAATGGACTGACAGAGGCACATACAAAGTAGTAATTCTCTGTTTTTAGTATCTAAAAAGACTGTAAATAATAAAAGACTGCTATCAGAAAAATCAGGTAGAAAACAAATGGTGTAGCTTTAAAAACAAATACAAGGTCACTGCACAAAGTGTAAAGTGCGTAGTTCTTTGACTAATTGGGCTGCTACGGCAACGGCCCAAAGAAGGGACACTTCATTATTGTACGTCATAGATCGCACTGCATAGAACACAATATTCAGAGGAACAGACTTTTAGGTTTATCATGTTATTAAGGAACTATTTCAATTTATCCTCTGGAACTCATATACAGCCTGTTATTTTAAATCCTGTTCTTTCTGTTATGAATTGTAAGATCTACTACATATTACATTCCAGTAGAACACAGGCGATTTTGATAATGATAATAATAATTTTTACTACTGAAAGTAATTTGAATAACAACCCCTTATTACAGCATGGACACTCAATTAGCCTTGCAAGAGAAGGTGCTCTGCTTTAAAACGCGTAACATCAGAAGCGTAAACTTTGTTCAGTATCACAAGATATACTAGCAATATCGATATATGACAAAGTACAAATTAAATGTATCGAATTACCTTCTAGTGCCAAATTACCTCATATTCTGTATCTATTAAGTAAACTGTTGAAATCATAACATTCAATTTCTTCTTCAGTTCTAAGGTTCAGTTACGTGTGTTCTTGATGTGACGACACTAAGGAGTTATTTGTAAGCCATTTGATGAAGCCTAACGCATAATGCCCTTACTACGATCAGCTTATTATAGCGTTAATTACCATCTTGGTTTAGATCGACTTGATTTTAATAGTGCAACCTTCCTGTCTTTATGTTTATGAAAGCGTTAGTAGGTGGCAGACACAACTAATAAAACCGAGTCTTGCCTCCGGCGCAGTTCCTTCAGAAAGTGTGCAGAAAGCACGCCTATAATTGGATTTGTCCCGGCTCTTCGCTTCACAAGGAAGCGAGAGGAAGCGTATTCTTATACGGATTGTTTGCAAGTTCTGTGCAAGTTTATAAGTGAGTAACGAAGGAACGCTGTGCAGTTCTTCTGCTTTTCTTGAACTACAATTTCCCCTCTTTTTATCCTTGTTGTTAGCAAATTAGAGGCTTTGTGATGGTAATGAGACTGGATGAGGACTGAAGTCTATAGGACGATTCTGATGAATCCTTTTGACTGATGTTTAGTGAAGGAATATTGACTTACAAGGAACTGTAAAGAAGCATACAACTCAATCATTGATTGCTGGGTGTAGCAAGTTTTGTAGTTCAAAAAGGGCAGGTGAGCAGATTGGAAATATCATTGTTCAATTGCGAGATATTTGAATTCATAAATAATAATATGACATTTGTGAATCTCGAAATTGGGTATTCTATTCCTTCGTGGTTTACTCCTGATTCTGAAGAAAATTATTGAAATGGGAGTGATAGCCATTTCCTTTCACGTTTAATTTGAGTAATTAACCCTGGATCCTGTTTTAACCAACATCTCAGTTAAAAGGCCATAACAAGTTGCAAATTCATTGCGCGTGCGCAGAATTTCAGACAAGCTGAGCTTGGACTTTCTTCTAAAGAATATTTTATATATAGACCCTATCTTATTTTATACTCCAATAATATGTAATTATAAAGGATGTGTTTATATGCCCGGGCGACTGAAGTGCGAGAGTTATATTTTTATTGCCCTTTTGTTGATGGCAAACTATTTTTACTCGACGCCCAGTGAAATTTAAAGATGTCACTCCTATAGACGGGCAGAGCGTATCCATAAGATATTCTTCATTTGTGCTAAAGCATACAGAATACCTGATAACCTATTTATATAGAGGAATATAGCTGATAACTTACTCCAAAATTACCTCTAAATAACCCAATATAGCAGAACCTTTCTTGAGAAGCCGGTTGTCGCACAGCTGATCAAGAAATCCCCAACATTTTGTGGAGAAAAAAGGTTTGTTACTGCGTTCGTAAGAACAGCCACTGCATCCTGTCTTCCATCAGCATCCTGAGGAAACGCCACGTTATGGTGACAAGGACCCGATAAATATGCAGGATACAGAAACTAGACGGTTTTTTCGTAGAAACATTCTTTAATGGACATGTTTCAAAACGAAACGTACTGATATTTCGTAAGACGTTTTAAACATCCAATTTCCGTAAGAGTTTTGAAAGGATAAACATTTATTTTTAGTAGCGGCACTCAAGAGGGCAATTTAGAGTTTGGAAACGAAAGAATTTTTTGGACTAGAAAGTAAAGCTTCTAAAGAAACAAGCTTTCTGCAAAAGAAATAAAAAAACATACAAGAGAAACACAAATGTTTTCAACTTCGCAAATCTTCAGTACTTGTTGATGATGCTATGTTCTTTTTTTATTTTACTTCCGGTCACTATGAAGAGTGTGCTGGAATTATTTTACAGAAATGTCGGTACCTGTCATTTATCACACAACACGTCTGGTCCTATGTATTTTACACACAATACAAGAAATATAAATAACATTTAAAATTGTCTCAAGTAGATATGTCGGACATTTAACAGAAGAAAGCTTCAGAATGTAGCCTGTGAGTCACTTAGCACAGCTGTTACATCATATAGGCCAACCACTAACCGCAGACAAACACGACCAGATGTTTGTCCTATTATACGTCTGACCGAAGTCGACCGTAAATTACATGGCACGTCATAATTATAGGCAATGTCCTACCAGATAAAGGCATTCGTTAAACGTCTCCTTTCATTTCCCTTCACTTTTGAAAATTCGGGGATAAAAGAATTTTGTTTCTCGATTTAGTTAACGGGCTTTTACCAACTGTATATGCTACAAAGCTCCGAAAAAAAACATGATTAAAAAAAAGTTATTTGTGAAGAATTTCGAAGCCTATATTCTAACCAGCAAGCTCCGAAATGTGGGGCACGACTGCAATGCTTTTGTCGGTTTAACCCCTTAAAGCTCATTGGTAAGTATGTACTACCCGAATTAACAATCAATAACTCTGTATTTTCTATTAATGGGGTTTGTTTGGTTCTCAGCGTAGAGGGAATATTTCCCAAATAGCATGAATCAGTTGATATTTGTAATGGAGAAGTAGTGAGTTTTCTTTGAGTTGTGGGCTGAATTCTTAAATATTATTTAGACGAGCTTCGGTTTCAAAGGCGAAAACAGTGACATTTATTCATTGTTCTTGATTTTTTTGTTGACTGTTAAAAGGTCTATAAGTTATTAGTTATTAATAAAAAGCTACAAATAATAATAATAATTATTAATTACACGAAAACATAAGGCAACTTGAATGAGCTGAGTTCATCTTTCTTATTTACGAGGCTACAATATGACGAGTCTCGTAACTGTGAATTCTTGAATTGTTACAACTGAATAAATACTGGAATTGTCCGAAATGACTATATATTTTAATGATTAATTAAGAGACGGTATCATCCACTAAAAGACTGCATTCTCGAGAAAGTAGCAACAAAATATTTGACGAATGTGGCACAAAAACATGAGAAAATAGTTACTTTGTTCGCGAGGTATTATTCCCCAAACGACAACGTAAGATTCCCTACGATTTAAATTGATTTATTGGAGCTGGAATCCCAGCTTATAAGTACTGACCCTCAACGAAATAGAATGGGTTAGGGAACACGAAGTTGGTTCCTGATGTCAAAACAAAGTTGTAAAGTAATTTACCTTAGAGACCAACAATCGATTGAGACTTATCGAGTGCGTAAAGAGACAGCCGAGATAGATGAGTGGCTGAAAGCGAAACGACATGTAATTTCTGTTTCCCGCAGACTTTATTGGATACAACTTCATTTCACGGGATGCTTTAAAAATTCGATGAATAAAAGTACATTTTATTACGTGGAATCACAAATGAAATGTGTTCCTGGTATGAGTCCTGTGTAATTCACAACCTGAAGTTGTGCCGTAACCCCTCTCTAAACAAGCTCCAGCCATCTTTATCATTTATTAAACTTTCACATACTCAGACTTTGGGGTGAAGAGGTGGTACACTTATCTGCATCTGTCGCTTTATATTAAATTAACTCGACTTCACTGTTCTTTATTAACATAGTCGAGAATTATTGGATTTTTCTGCTGATAATTTCTGCTACGCAACACCCTGATTGTACAGTAAACACAGACTGCACTCGGAGTAACGCTTCTTGAAATTCTTAACTGACGACTGAAAAAGAAAGTGTAATTACATATAAAAATTTGTGAGGTTTTGAGGTTCTCTGGCTGATCTCTGGCTTGTTACGCCTTATAGTCTCGTAGAAATTTACCGACGTTTTAGAGGTGCTTGATGGCTCTAGTTCGTAAGAAGAAATTTCTGGAAATTGTTGGCGTATTATTCTAAGAAGACAAGTTATAAGTAGCAGGCATTTAATTTACAGTTTAAAGTATATATATTTAAATTCACAATGTAATTTTATTGGACGTATACAGTGATAACACAAATATCTTTATTTTGGTGTCAGTTTTAGATACTTTATACATATTCACTTATACTGTATTATATTTTATACACAAATTACTGAGCTTTTAGATAATCTTCATTTATGAACAGTTAATTTCTTAAACCATGTATAGGCGAAATTTTTATATAACGTTGCTCTCAAATTCACTTCTTCACTTCCACAATAAGAACCATGCACACGGCAGTGACTGAAGTTATACTTCTCTGTAGGATCGAGTCTCTTGATATTTGTTGTAGGCAACTTCTTATCGTCAGTCTGATACACGTACACATTTTTACTACATTATGTCTTGTCTACATGAAAACATGTAATTTTATACACTGAATGCAATAACGAATTCATCTGCAGATTTAATTGACTTATTCTGTTATTTCTGTGTTTAAAATTCTTCTGTATCATCATAAACATAGGTACACTCTACTTCGATACAAGTCGACTAAAAGCAGAAACTTTGAATATTATTATCCAATATGACAAACTTGCACTGTCATATACGGCGAACATAATTTCAGCCACATTTTCACATTTATTTCCTGTAATACGTTAGCTTGACAGAAGGACATGCTCTTGAAGTTAGGTTTCCAAGCTTCGTAATACTCATCAGTTGCTAAACCAAATCCAGCAAAGAATAAGTAACGTCACTTGAATGACAAGCAGTCAATATGAAGTTAACTGAAACACGCAGTTACAAAATAAGTCGGAATCCTGCTAGATATGTTCTTAATAACTTACATCTCGACTCGATCCTGTTATACCCGATCGCCTGAAACATCATCTCGTAGAAGTGCATAAGCTACAGAATTCTTAGATTCTGAATTCTTGTTACACAGCCGATTAACAAAAATGGTTTTCACGATAAGGATGATAAAATTCATTTTCATTATTTTCCACAGCGTGATCACATACAGATATAAATTATAATATAACTAACACTAATAATAGGCTGATACGTTTGGAAACTGTAGGGACCTACCGAATCCATAATGATAACGAAGACGATACACGTGATATACGAAAGACGAATAAATACTTAGCAGAGTGAAAAAGAAAATAACATTCCTGGAGAACCTTTAAGCGTTATCCATCACAAAGCCACACACTAAAGCCAAGTGTTGTTGGCGGGAAGTCAAAGCCTCACGATCTACTGATACCGCGTGAGTTTATTTCAAGGAAATTCCAGCTAATCTTGCATGTGACAATGTAATTTGTGTCAGCAGTGAGTATGCGTGTGACTGAAGTTCTTTACGCGACCGAGAGATGTTGATCGGGAGACTTCTGACTCCGGTCAGATTTACCTTCGGCCATCGTTCTGTTGGGCAACGTTCAACACTTCGAAGAAAGCGGCCACAGAAATCCACCTGGCGGTAATGAACTTATTAACGGAGTTTTATTCATTCTTACACATCCGTTAATATGAAAGAAATGTCCTAATTTACCCATGATTTTTGGGGTTCAACCACAGAAATTACTGAATACCTCTTAGTTTTCGTAATGTTGCAGAATCTTGTGTTTACTTCTACTGCCTTAAACATCATTAGAGTTGCGTTAAATAATTAAATTAAATACTAATAATATTATTACGGTCCTATCTACACCTGCTTTAGGACAAATCATCCTTGATTTGAAACTGTCACTACGTTAACTTCTACCAATCACGCATGTATAAAGAAATGAAAGTGAATATATATCAGACTTAATCTGACGATCGCATATTCAATACAAAAATATATTTTATTTAATGATAAACACTGTCCATTTCAAAATAATACGTATTCAGTGTAACAAACACAACACGTACACACAGCATCGTTTCCAAAGAATGCATGGCGTGTTGTTACGACAATCGCGTTTTGTTTCAGAATTTGTTGTTGAAGCATGACTCAGTACGCATGACTTTGTGTTGTCATTGTTCCGTATTTCACCAAAGGTTTAATTTAATCCCACGTAGATTAGGCATAATTATACATTTACGGTTTTTCCGACGGAATTGTCATAGGCCACGCTTTAGCTGTATGCAGCTTATTGAAAACAATTCTTCAGCAAACCACAGGCAGTGAGATACTATAAGTACTCAGTCACAACAACAAAAACAACAACAACAGAAGGGTATTTTATTAATTTCACAATGGGGTTCCTTTTTTACACAGAGGGATTTGCGGACTGATTTTAAATCAAGTTGGTGGCGACAAGCCACGCGGACAGGACGTAGAGAACGGTGGCTGCAGCTGCAGCTGTCACATGGTGCGCTCTGGCGGCGGCTACTGAGAAACTGCTGGCTCTCGTAACATTCAGAGTAACCGTACCCTCAGCCAGACCTCTCGGGGATCGAACCAGGAACACGTACTCTCCCTGGTCGCTTTCTGTTACCATCATGAGAGTCAGCACAGCCTGGTGGCAATACTCAGAACTTCCAGCCTGTAAGGGAAAAAGAAAGGGAACTGTATTGATTTCCACATACACGGGTTCGCAAAATACATGGAACGTAGCATACTGGTATGTTGTTCCCAGTATATGCCGCTTACAAGTTCCCGAACTTTACACAACCGCAGCGAACTGTTACTCTGTGTTTATTGTGAACAGATTCTACCTACACAGTTATCTGCACAGCACTGTACCAGCAAAAGGCTAGTGTTTGCATATGCAATAAGTAGCAGATGTACATAAGGAACTTGAGAGAACAGGATATCAAAAATCCAAAGTCTATAAACATTTATTCAAAAAGAACACAGAGTTTAATAAGATAAATTATATTTAGGCTAAACATATATTTGTCGCTGTAAAGGATACCTTACTGTCAGTCAAGTTGAAACAGATGGTTTCATGTTCTAATATTTTTGAAGCATCAGTTTTCTTTGTGGTTGAGAGCTAGGTCACTTCGTGAACGGTATTTCAGACGGTCTCCACTTTTTGTCACTCAGCTCATACGTCGGTTCCTCCACTTTACACCGTTAGTCTATTTTCGCCTCAGTGACTCGCTTTCTCGATGACTGAATCTCGTAAAACTGCGTGTGTCGCAAACGGAGCTGTTTTCCGCTAGGTCCCAATAACTCAACTCGTCCGATATGAGGGGATTGAATGCGCTTTCTCACTGGATTGTGTTGCTGAGAATTACGGAGTGCAGTGACAGGGCGATTACTTACTGGCGAAATAGCAACATAAATAGTGAAGACCAAGTCGCTCAGACGAGAATGTTGAAGGTCCTGACATTCACCACTAGCTTATAGCTGGCCTGTGCAGATACTGGAGCTTCATAATTTGTGCTTCTCACCAAACACTCTTAGAATGATCAAATCAAGAACAAGAACATGAGCGGGGCATGATGTAGTTATATCTGGATTTGTCGATATTGGTCTTCTGGGTAGTAACGCTCTGTGGAATGTAGGTAGATACCAACGTTTCGGAGGAACATACTGCCTCTATTTCCAGGGCTTCAGAGAAATTACTACCGAGAAGATTAACATGTAGATCTTCAACAACGTCAGAACCTCAAATGTCATGTAACTGGGTTTGGTGATGTTTCGACAATCGTAAATAAATAGCGAAGGCGAATACAACATTGACTAAAACATCAACGAAGAATGACATTCAAGATCAAAGTTCCAAGTATCGTAATGTACCGCGTTTCGCTGTGCCTCTCCTGCGAGGCTCACAGAACGAGTACAACTTTTGTGCACGTAAATCCGCAGGCTGTGTACATAGCCTAGTGACGTTGCCCTCCTCTGCACTGCAAAGCCAGTCGAGCTGAATGACTACAGGTCAGAGGACACTTGATGCACTCGCAGTTGCCAGCATATAAGCTGCTGGATCAATCTGATAGTCAGAGCTTCATGGCACAGATGCGAAATTGCCACTCACTCAGCCGTGAAACTATTTAAGGCTGCATCATACGTCCCACCTATAACTTGCTGGTTTAACCCCAAAACACCGCGTATATGGGCATTAAAACAAGAGCTGACTGCAAACCCGGAGGCTCTTTAACCATAATTGAAATGCAGCACCTCTGTCTCCAACGCAGACGGCCTTCTCGTGCCTGACCAACCTTACCCCTACCTGTCCTAGCACTCTGGAAGTCGCTGACTGTCAGTGGCTTATCAAAATGGTAAAATGTCTAATTAGGAGTTATTCGGTTCGAATTCTGTACCTCCAAGAAAACACAACACTTCGCTATTACGAAGATAAGATTGTAAATGTTGTTTAAAGAAATTGTAGCAGTTTAACCTTAGAATTATACTAAACATAAAGAAGTTCAGACTTATAGACGGATAAGTGCCACTAGGCCTAAAAAGATTAACATTAGTACTAACGTTGTATGTGTAATATAAGGCAGTGGAGACCTGGGTCTGCATTACCTGAGGGCTCGCATTAGCCCACATAGCTTTCCCTCACGTGCGCACGTATACAGACTGTGTCGTATACCCGTGTGTTACGATACCATTAAGATTAAGTTACATCATAATAAATGTTAATTAACATTTATTATGATGTAAATTAAACTTAATAAATGTTAATTAACATTTTCCTAAAGGATACATAATAAGGATGGAAGCTTATGTTGTGTTAAGAGGCATATTGCCTTAGGCAAAACGTTTATAGCACAGATTTTTCCTTACTTCGTATCGTACAGCCCGTAATATAAAATTCTAGGTAAAATTAAACAATAAGAAAAATGTTTTTGTGTCACGTGATCTGTGATGTGTCCGACTGGCAATTTCTTTTCTATGTCAGATGGCCATGCAGACCGACCATGTTTGTTGCCAACATTCAACCTCCAGTTTATTTAGCTTTTATTTGATTTTGGGTTTATCATGTGGGTTATCCTTACATAGAAATCAATTTTTATGTAGTTAAATGTGGATTTTTATTTAGTTAGTTCAGTTGTTTATTTATTATATAACACTGATACATACAAAGAACAATGGCCTTTCTGTTTCGATATTTCGATTTACGATATGGCTCCCGTAGGGCCACATATTTTATATTAGCGATAAATTTTCGATTAACGATGTTTATATCACATGGCCCCCAATTTAATGTGTTTCTTATTTCATATTTCCTATATTCGATTACCGATAACTTCAATTAAAGATGGTTTTTGTGCAACCAAATATTATTAGCCAAGTGACCACTGTATGTGCAGTGTTGAATTATACACAGTAGAGAGACTAACTATGACGGATGTTCCTTTCAGTAAATTGAGACTTTTACAGAACGAGGACTGGGATAATCAACAACTGTGGAGTGTGAGAAATGAGAGCATATGAACATGGGAAACTCCTAGACGTAGATGGGTTATGAATAATAAGACGCTGGAGCTGGAGTAGCCTGCTTTAAGGAACTTCATCGGCATTCACCGAAGAATCAACAAGAAAAGACACGGAAGACATAAGCGAGAACAGTTAAAAAAGTTAAAATCAGATTAAGTTCGGGAAATACTTATTACCATTCAGTACATAACATTTCATATTCACGTCGTCTATCTAAACGCGTAGTGTAAGATTGAGGTTTTCACAGCGTGAGTCTGAAGATGAATCGCCCTGATGACGGAGGCAGTATGACCTCTGAAACGTCGGTAAACATCTACCAGACTACACAGCGCAACAACCCAGAAGACAGAAATCATTAAACACGTAGTGCTTGAAACAGGCTTATACAATGCTATAATGCTATTTGTTTTGTGCGGATATGAATCCTGGATTCTCGCCCCAAGGGAACATACTAGATTGAGGGCGTTCGCAAACTGGGAATTGAAGGACATATCTGGACCTAAGAAAGAGGAAGTAAAGGCATGTTAACGAAAGTGGAACGAGCAGTTCCATAATTTTCACTTTTCACCCAGCAAGCTTTCGGCGATCAAGTCAAAGCCGATTATGTTGACGGGACATGTTGCACGAACAGACGAGTTTGAAAATGCGCAAACAATTTAGATCGGAAAACCTGAAGGGAAGAAACCACTTGGGATACAGGGGTTGAAGTGACGACAATGTTCACATGTACCTTAAACAAACTGGGTGTGGAGTGGATTCTGCTGGCTCAGGTAAGTGTCCAGTGGTGGGCACTTGTAAACACCGCAAAAGCACATTTTAAAAAAAGCACATTTTAAAAAAATCACCCTTCCTCTTTGTAAAATTGAGACAAATTTGTCACACAGATATTTGTCCTCCAAATGCCCCCCTCATTCAAAAACAGAAATCGTACCATCAAATGCACGTTTCAGGCCGTTCTCAGTCTCCAATTGAAGGTAACCCCTTGGACACAGAAGGGCGATTAACGTCATAATATCCCTGGGGATCTCGTGGACCGGGTGATCGATCGCTTTATCGGATCTATTGCCTCAGACACACAGGACTTGGCCTTAGAGACGTTCAGACATGATCCAACTGTTAGGAGCTTCGTCGCACCAGATTCTCGGATCAGTGCGTGGACCAGTGTTCCTAATTTGCGGCCTCCGTCGTAATGAACGGGATTATTGTATCAGTACCCGTGTCATTTCTCAGTAAAGAATCTGTCTCCTGTGCTTTACAGACATCACATCAGATTTGATGCCTCGTTCACCCGCTCTCTCATGTGCGAAGGGCTTCGAAAATTTTGCCATTTAGGCAGAAGAGAGTTTCTGGGACACGTAAGAGAATATAAGGCTCGCCCCCCCCCCCCACTTAATGCAGTTAGGGCGATTAAATCAAGAAGCGTAGGACCTAAGGAAAACGAGACACTGTCGGACAAAACTCCAATGCGTATAACGTTTTTGTTTCCAAGTATAATGAAAATAACCCATCCGGAAAACACATAAAATTGACAAAAATAAAGTTTTCCCTGCTCCTTAACGAAGCACTACACCATGCAGACGTATTGGGGAGTGGAGGTATAGATCTACGTCTAGTTGACCTTTGCATGGAATGAGGCGTGCTGTTAGCTTCATATCCGGAATGCTTTACGGGTTTAATCACTGGTCCAACGTATCCAACGAGAGCGGGCAAATAGTTCTGCTATCCAATCACTGTCTCTTATTGTTCTTCCTGTTAAGATGCATTTACATCATAGAAATGACGAGGAAGAACCTCGTGACTGAACAACAGTCCATTATTATGTGACACGTAAAAACATTTAAGTTAAAAGTATCATTAGTTTTAATGACAATGCTTCTCATGCTGTAAACATTGAGATCAGTCGTTGTGATGACAAATGACCGAAGTAAAACATGCAAACTCTGAATTTACTTCCTGCCTCCATACATGTTGCCTATGCTGAATAACACTGAGGGACCTTTTATTTTGGGAAAGATCGGAGGATTATTGCAATTGAAAGACACACACACGTGTACGATCTCTTGCTGGATACATATTGACATATAGCTAAAATTAAGGCGTGACAACAAGACAAATTAAGAATGGTTAAATTAAACTATTCAATGGATTTAG